GAGTCTATGGTGAATAAGTGACTGCTCAGACAAAGGCAATGACCTGAGTTTTTTTGTTTTTTAACTGGCAGCATTGTCCAGGATTGAGGTATTAGGAGGACTTAAAGCAGCTGGTGGGGCAGACCTGCACACCAGAGATGGACAACAGCTCCGTGGGAGTTCATTACCAAAAGCCAATAGTGGTGCCAGTAGCCGTGTCATCCACTGTTAATGGAAAAATTGATTACAGGCCTTGAAGTGGCTCTTCCCATTCATGCTAAGGAATAAGACTTTAAACTGCACAATGCCAGGGAAATACCATTCCTTTAATTGCCTGTCATCCCGGCAAACATAAGCAAAGGTATCTGAATAATTAAAGATACATTCCGGTATCAGTCACTAGTCCTACAATAGTCCGGTTGTCATTTCGATATTAAATGAATTAGAACCACAAAGCTTACTTAGCATTTTAAGCAGCCACTTTATGTCCCGGTCCATCAAAACAACATCAGGCTCCGAAGCGGCTCCATATTTGAAGTGGCATCTGAAAGGTTTTGCGGAATCACTCACAGCCGGAGGATCCAAATCACCGGGGCTGGTTATATTAAGCCAATTACATTTTTTTTTTTTTACAATACAATCGTGAGCACGGGATGGTTAATTTAGTTTGACCCAAGAGCCCCCGACACTCCCCTCAGATGGCAGACGGATGAGACGAGTGACCACAGGCATGAAGGAGTGTGTGTCTGAGTGTGTGAGAGCGCACTGGATTAGTCTTCATTTGGTGCCTCTGTCATGAGGGAGGGGAAGACGGAGCATTGTGTGGCAGAGCAACGAAAACACACCGGGTCAGTGGAACACACACCGACACACACGCACACGCCATTAACCCCACCCGCTGCTCATCAACTTTATTTTGCAATCTTCCCTCAGAACCATTAGAATACCCTGAAGAAATGACTTTCCAATTAAAGGGGATATAGGAGAAGAGTTTTTCTTTTTTTTTTTTTTTTTTCCCCCCATCTCCGGCTCCTGGAGTTCTTTATTCCAATAATTTAAATTGGAATTGATTTTTCAATTTAGCCACTGACTGTTATGGACACGGAGAGCATGACCAAATAGAAGTGTGTTCTTAGAATGTTTGTCATCACACAGTGCAACATGTAAATTTGCCCCCACCCCCACCCCCACCCGTGTGGACAATCAGGCGGGAAAAACAAAACCAGGCCCCGCGCAAATTACCGCGTTTCACATTCAGGCGGTGTCTGGCGCCAAAAGGTAATTCATTCAGAGGCCCTAATTGGTTTATTCCTGCAGGTTTAGCCGCGGCCCGATCTTTGACTCCAGCCCCAAAACGGCACCATCACGCTGCATTTTTTTCACAAAAAAGCCTCGGACGGCGGCTTATCCCCGGCGAGCGGCGTTGAGCCTCCCCCATGTTTGCATTTGACAAACTTTACCCAGGAACCCGGCGTTGTAACGAGCATTTATGGTGCCTACACAACAAGGCGGAGCGCTTTGCGGGGATCCGCTCTCAAAGCCGGCCAGATTCCGCCCGGCCCGCTTTCACGGATTGCGTCCGGAAATCCGAGTGGCTGGACGAATGGTTCTGTCTTTTGCTCCTGACAGCTGGCTGTTGGAGGTTTTTTCTCTCTCTCTCCTGAGCTGTTTTAATAAAGTTGTGTGCTGCAGGACCGGGGAGAGAAGATTAATGGACGCACAGGAAGCGTGGCAGTTGCGAGAGGATGCGGGACAGAGCCGGGCCAACAGCCATCTGTTCCCTCTCCTTTACAGCTCTCTTAATGGAGAAGCAAAACCAAACAACATGGATCCCAGCCCTGCAGACAGACACACACACGTGCACGCGTGGGTGCGTGCGCACGGCTAAACACAACACACCGTTCGGTGCCACACGGATTTGAGCTAGGCTTTTGTCATAGTATTTCCCCATGTTGGATGCGAACGTGCGTACGCTGGCATATGTGTGTATATATATGTATATTTCTGTGTGTGTGTGTTTGTGCGCTTTCTTTTTTTCCCCACCTTTCAGCGAAATAAAGTTGGGCGTGAGCCACGGCTCTGAGATTTAGATGAAAGACACAGCCTGGATGGAACGTGATTAAGAGATATGTTCTTGAGGCAAAACAGGACTTGGCATTCGCTGAGACAAAACCTAATCAAATTAAAGCAAAACACGGCCATTGTTGTGGAGTGTGTTCCCCGGCTCGTGTCATGTCTGAAAATGAAACAGTGTAAAATAGATATGAGCCCGCGTCTGTGGAGCGTCACCAACAAAGTGGTTTTATTCAGATTTACACACAGGCACTGACTAATGACGGTTGTGCCCAATGATGCCTAAAGCGCTTTATAGAGCTGTCTGGGTTATAAAATATGTTTACTGTGATGGAGCTGAATGGCTCACTGAAAGAGTATTATTGTTTACAAGTTATGCTTTCAGATTCATTTACTCAGCACAATTGATAAACTCCGTCCGGTGGGCATCCTGACCTCTCATTGGTTTGGTAAGTGGTCTCCTGAGTGACAAACCTGGGTTTTTTTGGGGAAAATGCAGCATCTCTCAAAACCACAAGTCAGAAATCAAAACAAGTCGCCCGAAAAGACAGCGGAGGATACAGAACACTTCATTTTTTCGTTGTTTCTTCCGAATTTCTGCATGTTTTCTTTGTTGTGTGGCTTACAGAAGTTGTTGTTTTCATGTTTTTGTTTTTTTTTGGTCTTCGCTTTTGCTGCAATGATTCTAAAGTTAGTACTTTGTTGTAGGAAGGTTTTTTTTGTTGTCTCATTTTTTTAGTCCCTGAATTTTCTTAGATGCCGTTTTATCTGTTCTCTTGTTAAGTTCTGTCATGTTTTCTGAAATGCGGCAGCATGTAATGTGGCAACATGACCACAAAGTAGTATTACTTGTTTGTTTCTGAGCCGATCAGTTTGAATTTAAGATTCAGAGCTTTCAGTTTTAGTGTCTAGTTTAGCTGTTTATCTAGCGTATATTTTCTGGCACCTGCGTGACGCTATCATTAAGGTCTATCTTTTGTATGCGTGAGCTCATATTCATTGTATTTACTCCGACTCTTTTGCTTTTTTTCCTTTCTCTTTTGAGCAAACACAGACGATGTAACGTGAATTGACAACATGCCTCGTCTCCATCTTCCTCCGAGTGAAGACATCTGTACGACATGATGAAGTTTCCTCTCTGAGTATCAATCCTGTAATTGAGCTCAGGCAGAGCAGACGTGATGTGCAAACAGAGGAAGTCAAGGGCCTCTTTCCTTCTTCCGCGCATTCCTTCTTCGTTCAGTCTGTTCCCTCCCTCTCCCTCACACACACACACACACACACACACACACACACACACGCTATTCCTCTCTTCATCTGTTTACATGTGCACATCAGCTGAAATAAGTGCATTACCACTCGCTGCCATCATATTTCTTACAGCACAGGATCCGCTTGAGCAGGTAGACACAGGTGGAGGGACTCCACAAAAGCTAGATCTTCGTCTGTGTAATGCCGCTCTTTTTTATGTTTTTATTTTTTCTTACAACACCGTGGGTCAAAAACTGAAGCGAGAGTGACTTCAGCTCCGTCACAACCTGACGTGAGCCCTGATGGAGCTCCGATTCCGCTCGGCGTGCCACGATTAAAGGAATCCCAGCACGCGCCGAGCAAGAGCTGGCAAGCTACGTACACTTAAAATGAACCTGATTGATGGAGGACACCACAAACGGGCGGCCAGGATTTTCCTACAGGCACGTAGCATAGCAGAGAGTTAAAAAAAACAACAAAAAAAAACAGAGAGAGAAATGAAGGCCTTACATTATTTATACGTGCTAATGGCGGTTGGTTGCGTGTGTGTGCGCGCACGTGTGTGTCTGTGAATCAGCAAACCGAACCATCCCCTGAAATAGATGCCCGGCTGTAATCAAAGCCATACATTTCCTTTACTCGCCCATCCTCTGCTAAACACAGGGTCAATTGGAGTCAGTTTAGTAGCATTTGCAGCTCCCGCCGCAGATTATCTCCTCTTAATGGAGATAAAGAACCGCGCGGGCGCGGGCTGGCTGGGAAACACCGAAGGAGCACCTTCCACGCACACTTTCCCTGCGAGACCACGCATAAGAACAATAGCTCGCGCGCTTAACCCAGTTTTGTCCGCGAAAGGAATCCATTAGTCTCATTGTGAGGCCTTTAAGCCGGGCATCACGGGGGGGGGGGGGGACCCGCTGCCACATGTGCCTCTCATTTCCTACAGCAGTCCAGAAAAGTATCCTTCAACATCCTATTGTAAAGTTTACCAGGGGAGAGGTTGGGTGTATTAAAGTGCCCTGAGAGAAAAACACAGTAAATGATGTAAATGGCGTACAGTAGAGCAGGAGGCCCGGCCCGGGCTGGATATGTATCGTATCCATATAACATTATAGGGTCTCTTTCATGTCCCTGTGATCTCTAATGGGAACAATATGAAGAGTAATGGCATGGCAGAAGTGTGTGTGTGTGTGTGTGTGTGTTTGGGGGGGGAACGGTGGCTTGACACAAACTGCAGCAGATCAAGTTTGTTCTGTTGATTTCAATTATTTATCACCACCATTACAATGTTTTTTTCCCATATGGTTAAATTGCATGTTGGGGCTGGTTTGATGGTTTGCATCTATCTTAATTCTGTCCGAGGTTCTTGGGAACACGCTTTTTCTTTTTTTTTCCCCGCTCTCGTACACACATACAACAAATATGAGCCAGATGTTTCCGTATGTGCTTAGATACACTTTTCACAAGCGTTTTTCAGGATATAAGTTCTCTTCCTTTCCTTAATACCCCCTAAAGAAGAAGCATTCCTCCTGGAGGAGGAAAACAAAGTACCCCAAGTTGGTAATTGCAGCAAGTTGTTTACAATTGTTTACTCCTTTTTGTTCAACTCAAGGAGGCTATTTGTCCTAATCCTGCTTCAACAATCATATTATAACTGTGTAAAAATGAACATGTGATACACAGACTCTCGAAGAAACACTTTTAATCAAGATCAAGGTAAATGGCCCCCGCAAAGCACGATTTTTGACAAACAAATTTCGGCCGCATTGTCTCTGATCATCATCTGACGGTGGGCCGACACGCAAACTCTATTAAGCTGTCTTCAAATATGCAAAAATGATATGATTTTACAATGATTACATATTCACTTCCCCAGCTGGCTGGCTCCGAGCATCTCCATTTGTCATCGACTATTGTGTCCAATTATATGATTAGCTTTGAACACTCCAGCACTTCGAGAGCTCTCGTGTGTTCCGCCGCGCAGAGCGATTCACAAACAAAGTCATTACAACATGTATTCACACATATCAAATAACAAAACAGATGGCCACCGCGCCCGCCGCCTGATTTGTTTTCCACGCGATGGGAAGAAAAAAAAAAGTATTTTGTGAGAGCTGGGCTTAATGCTGACTGTTTTTTTTTTTCTTTTTTGTGGCTTTTTTTTTTTTATTCCCAAAGAAGAGCAGCTGGCTGTCGCGCTGTTAGATCAGCTCCTATGAAAGAGAATCTTGTTTTCATTAATTTCTCTACAACAAAGGCACTTGTTGGGAAGATTTAGAATTACGGCGGGTAAAGCTTCCGGATAATTCATCACAGGGACTTGACAGGAAACTTAATTGTTTTAAATGCCAGTTGCAGTGAGCAGCATAGCTGTTTTTTTCTTTGATGCCTAACAGGTGGGACAGATAGACAACCCTCTGATGTTTCATTCAACCTTTGGCCTCCCGGTTATAAATCCACTTGTAGTCCACCGGCAAATAAACCTATCACCATATGATGGAGTGCAGTTGCCGATATTCCATGTGAGATGGAAATCTTGTAGTCTGCCTCCTCGTATTTAACACAGTGTAAATCTACCCTCGCTATATCACATGGAGTGACCACGTCTTCACCTAGGAAGATTGTGCAAGTCAGCCAAACCCCATATGGATTCCATCATTTCTACGATCGGAGATTTAAAAAATGGGTCGAGGCTGAGTATTTCTATTGTATGGGAGGTCACAGCGCAAAGTCTGACTAAAAGAAGCATCACACCGACTCACATTTTTGTTCAGGTTAGTCTGAGTGGTGATTCTGAGCCGAATAGTACACCAGACAAAAATGTGACTTGACAAAAGAAGATGAAACTAAATGGAAAACCCTTTGTTGGCAAACACCCGTTTTCACCAAACAAATCGACCAATTGTGCGCTTTTGCCAGCTTCACCGTGTTTTCATTCTTTCATAATTTGCCGATGTTTTTGTTCTGATTTTGTGTTTTTGGAAATGTTCACGTATCTAGGGTTTGGTTATCTGAAGCAATAGCTGATAGTTGAAAGGTTTTATGGATACGTTGTTGTTTTCTGTTTCTTTTTTTTTTTTCAAGAAATGCTCTTTTGCATTGATAAGATTTTTTTACTTTCTAGTTTGCTTTAGTGTTTTAGGAAATATGCTAACTTGTGTATCAACACATTTTCACATTTGCTGCATTTTACAATGTATCATCTGATGCTTGTTGAAGTAAATTGCCATTATTTTCCCGATTTTTGTTCTGGAATATTTGTTTGTTAACATCAGGTTTTTGCCATGTGTTGGTGGTGTGTCCAAAAAACTGAAATCTTATCTTGAGCTGACATTTGTTCAGCAAACATTTGAAGCTTTTGAACTTTTCCTCCTCTAAGTGACATGGCTGCCACCAATCAGCACTGACTCATTACTTGCCTCTAATCTAGGAAACACATAAAAGAATAAATTGCGTTTTATACCTGCAGCAGAGGGCTGACACTGAAATGTCCCGGCGCTGAAAAGGTTTTCTGTTTAAAGGTTAAGGTTGCAGTAAATCTAGCAAATAGCCTCCCTGACATCTCTTGAGCATGTTACTGTAAATGCACTTCAAGCAACTGAATCATTTAACATCTAATCAATACAATTCACATTGCACCATAAACACACTTTAGTCAGATTCCTTTTTGTGGAGGCTGTTGTTAACTTGAAAAACTGATGATTATCTTAAAGGCGACCAGTTTAGGCGAAAGAAAACTGTAGCTAAACAAAGCTACCGAGAGACGAATTAGACACCGAATTCTTTCGGTGCCCGCTTTGAAAAAGTTTTTTTTTTCAAAAAACCTGGATGTTTTTGAGCTCTGGCAGGTGGAGGAGCTCTAGCTGTGCCATGCTGCCATCACCTGGCCAGAGCATTTACAGCAGGTTTTTAGAAAGGCCTCCAACGCCGGTCTGGGCTCAGGTTTAAACAGCTTTGCTCAATTTTATTTACACCATTTTGTTTCATGACGTCGTGCTCGATATGAAAAGGTTTGCTCATCTGGCCGGCGTGGGACTGATATGCCACAGACACAGAGATTAAACACATTCACTGAGTGAAACATTAAAAATAGCAACCTTTTAGAAACCCGCCGCCGTTTCCTGCGGAGGCCGTGGAGACCCTTTATGACGCGGTTAGACGGTGGAGAAGCGTTTCGCCGTGCGATCACAGCAGGCGGTGGGATACTGTTAGCTGGGTTTTCGTACGATTAGGGGCTTTATTTTCATCTGCAGGTTCTCGCAGCTGAGCCACAGAAAACAGAAAACATTTCAATTCTCTTGGGTGAGTCAATCATCTCTGAACACAGATGTTTTTTGTTGTTTTTTTCTTCGCCACAACAGCAGCACTCCCATACTGCCGGTGTAAATCACACCTTGAAAAATTAATTGGAATTTTTTGTTCCTTTTTTTTATAATTAACCGTGTAAAGTACGCCGCGGTGCGTTCGGTGTTACGTTTTTTTTTCCCAAAAGCACGAACGGGGCTTTGCGCGGTTGGGTCGAGACGCCCCGAATCGGCGGTTTTTCAGATCATGGCGCTGGTCAGGTTGCTCATGGACCTGACGCTTCCCGTGTGCGTGTGCCTGCTCTTCCGCCTGACGCTCCGCAGGTAGTTCCGGTACAGGATCACGCTGATGACCCGGTCCTGGAACTGCTTGGAGACGATGTAATACAGGATGATGTCCAGCACGGTGCTCAGGTTCATCAGGAAGGTGGTGAAGACCGCCCAGGTGCTGAAGCCCCCGTCCCGGCCGTCCCCCAGCAGCCGGAGCACCAGGCACACGTGGAAGGGCACGAAGCACACCAGCACCTGGACGATGAGCGTGATGATGATCCGGATGGACTTCTGCTTGACCTTCGGCTTCAGCTTGGAGGTGCGGCCGTGGACCAGGTTGTCCACGATCACCACGTAGCAGCCGATCATGATGAAGATGGGCACCAGGAAGAAGAAGATCAACCTCACAAAGTTGATGGGGTTGTCGTGGCGCATGAAGATGACGTCCTGCATCTTGACGCAGGTGGTGAAGTTGGAGAGACGGTCGGGGTCTTCCTCGGAGAAGAGCAAGGGGAGCGTACTGCCCAGAGTCATGATCCACACCCCCACGCTGCCCAGCACGGCCTTGGGGACGTTCCTCAGCTCTTTCCCGTGCCTGGGCTGGACGATGGCCATGTAGCGGTCCGAGCTGATCAAGGCGAAGAGCCACAGGGCCATGCAGGGGTAGAAGATGGTCAGGGCCGCGTTGACCCGGCAGAACATGTCCCCGAAGGGCCAGTGGTCCCGGTGGAGGTAGACCAGCCGGAAAGGGAGCAGCACGATGTAGGTGAGGTCCACCACCGCCACGTTGATCATGTAGACGGTGACGGAGTTCCGTTTCTTGGTGGTCAGGCCGAACACCCACAGAGCGGTGAGGTTAACCGTGATTCCGATGACGAAGACGAAGCAGTAGAAGACCAGGGCCGCCATGCGGTACTCCAGAGGGCCCTGCCCCGGATCCATATCGCTGGACTCTACCGACATGTTGGAGGAGTTATGATCCACCATCATACTGAAAAGATTAACACAAGAGACTGTTAACTCTTTTGAAAGAGCATCCTGGTAAAACACTGATAGACAATTTGAAAAAATCATGTGCTCTCAGCAATAGAAGAAATTGAAAGAAGTGTTTTTGACCATGACGTTGGTCTTTGTGAAAAGTGATAAACAGGGTGATGTTTTGAATCTGTATCTTACAATTTCTGGAAAACAAAAAGTTGGAATTCTGTTCAAACAGTAAACAGAAACAGTCTATATTTTTGCAAAAGCACAAAGCAAAAAAGTTGAGATTTATATCTGTGTTAAAACTAACAAAGCTAATTTACAATGGAATGTTGGATCTAAATTATTTTCTTTTCTCATATTATAATACCAAAAATGATCTGATGTGCGAATGAGTGAATGTTAACTTACTTTTATGCTCAATATCCTGCATCAGTCTGAAAAATCATGAAGAATTAGATTAATGATGAATAAAAAGACTCTCTTTTTACCTTTGTCAATGTTTCTGTGTTAAACAGAAGACCAGATCTCCAGAAGTAACACTGTGGCAGAAATAGCCGGGGGCTGAGTCTAAATTTGGGCAGATGCTTGTTTTTCAGTTTCCAGAACCTGCTGTTGGTGATTTGAATACTTATTTTTAAAAGTTGTGCAGCTGGACTGTGAACAAAGGAGGACATGCAGACCATCCTCCTCTTTCAGACGTTCACAGTTGATATGGTTTTATAAAATAGATGAAACTAAAACTACGAAATATATCGAAAGTAAGTTTATAGAATCATTTTGATCGGGGGTGAGACAAAAATATTGGAAGTGAAATTTGTGTTTCAGAGGAACATGGAGGCTTGTCATTTCAAAGAAATCATGTGACACCAGTACTTTATATGCAAATCTTTTTTTTAAATAATTTCTCTTTAATAATAATACTAGATATGACAGAATTTATCCTGGATTTATTCAAAATTTGTAAAACAATACAGTGACAGAATAAAGGCGACATGGAATAAAGCATCTGAATCATAAAAATCAACAAAAAGAATATACATTCAGCTATAAAACGACTGCCGGCATTACGCTCTGCGCCTAACAGACATGGTAGCTGTGGCTGGACAGTAAAATACAGCACTTACCCCAAAAATCAAACCAACATCTTGATAAGCTCACACCAACAGGTTTATGAACCAAAAGTAGGGTCGCGAAGACTCACGACAGCCGTCTGCTCTCTTAGGCCCAAAACGGGGAAGTGAGATGAAAAATGGAAATGGCGAGCGAGAGTGGGGGCCGCGTAAAGCCCCCGCGGCTTCCTGTCTGCTGCAGTTTCTGTACTTTTAGGCTCCTTTTACAGTATCTGCGCGGTCGGAAACGGGGAAAAAAAAAAGGGGGCTTACGGCTTTCCACCGTCTGCAATTACACCCCCTTAAAGAAAATGATGTGCCATTAGAAGTGGGAGTGCGTTTGGCAGGCGGAGAGATGGCAGATTTAGGGCGAGTTATTGATTGGAAAAGTGGGGTCTGTCACAGCACATTAGTTCTCAGGGGAGTAATCCACAGCAGGTTGCTGCGAGAAGCATCTGCTGCCGGAGAGAAGTAATTAAAAACAGGATGTTGAGGCAGTTGCCATATAAACAGGAAATAAGACGGTGGTAATAGACACTTCACGCCGATGCCGTGCGATGGTTTTACACCACATCGGCTTAATGGATGCAAAGCGCATACCTCAGGTGGAACGCTCAAGGTCAGTCTGGACCGGGCCTGAATACAGATTAATGTGTGTGATTAATGCGAGCGCGAGCCGCTAACAACTATGAATTAGGACATTTGGCTCAAAGGACATGACGCAATAAAAACTTCTTCTCCCCCTCGCACGTCCTCGCTGATACTTTCAGTTTCTTATGAGAGATCATATAAAAACAGACAGGCTACTTTCTCACAACTTCCAATTTTTCTGCAATAAACGTCACAGCCGTGGTGGAACGTTTTTTTTTGGTTTTGGCTCGGCGCTGCTGCGTTTGTGCAGTCCGTTTCAATTCCTGTTCCTGAGAAATAATCATCCATCGGCGCGTCCTCTTGATGTGCCTCAAAAGATCTCACACCAGATGGTGCTTGGTGTTCGTCGCAATATGTTGTTATGACAACAGCCTGTGTGATGTTTTCCTCTCTTTGGTAATTGTCATGTGGCTGGAGTTGTGGAATACTCCGCTCCACAGATAACAATCATCTATCCAATAAAACTGTATGTGTATATTTAGTTATATTTATATAAAACAGATCTAAACAACTAGATGGCTATTTTCTGTTTTTCACCCTTATGATTTGTTTCCTATATCTCAGGGTTAACAAAAGTCAAAGAGTGGTTGTTAATCATAAATAAAGAATATAAATAAATGTCTTCAATAATATCAAAGTGCCAGACACTGTGTCCTATTACTTGTTTACCATATTCTCTTTACCCTGTTCTACACTGCCCTCTAGCGGCCAATGTGAAATATTACAATATTTTCTTTGTGTTTTTATTTTCTTTCCACATTGATTTAGTCTTTGGTGGCTCCTTACCTTTTAGGTATTTCAGAATTATACAATATGATTTCTTAAAGCAGCGGATTGGTTCAGGGATCATCACACTCATTTTGTCCCTGTGTTTGGACTCTGTCAGTAAATCAGGACCTTTCTATTTCCAGCTTAAAATTTCATTGGTAAGCAAACGTGAAAGCAAATGTCTTTTTGTTTGTGTTCTTGGCTATGTAATGGATTTAATGCCTCTCCAGGGTGTTTTTCTCCCCCTCACCCAATGTCAGCTGGGACACATTCCAGCCTCTGAGACAAAAACAACATCATAAAGTGGACTACAAAATGGGAAAGTGGATGAATTTAACAGTTTATTATTAACTTTATGCCTTCTTCAATGTTTTTTCTCCGTAGACTCCTATCTTATCCATGCATCACTGTTTTAAGGTATTATCTTATCAAGGCCAAAGGTATCTTTCAGGAAAAAAGATTTTAAAGAGTCCAATTTTGACACACATTGCCATTAAAGGTTTAGAGATGTTTTTTGTATGAGGAGATGTGTTCTAACTCTTTTTTTTTACCATTAGTAAAACATATCCAGACAAGTGTTTCTTTGTTGTTGCTTTTTTAACCTCATATGCCTTAATATTTGTGCAAGCAATGCCCAGCAGTGGTTTATGTGGCCGCTGCTTGCCCACATAAACCATCATTGAGCATTAAAAACGTCCTTCACTAATAAACTAAAGCTGAGACTTTACATTTTCCCTGATATTTTGTTGCATTATTTAGGTTTTTTTTTCATGGATTCTGTCAACCGCATGAATAAAGTAATGTACACATTCGAAATCCCCAAAGACATCTCGTAATGGAAGAAAAAGAAAGACACAGCAGATGGCATCTATGTGGGAAATAGTGCTTATAGCAAACAAAACAACCACAAATTAGACCTAAAAGAGGAGCAGAAAGTCTGACATAACACGAGGTCAGAGAGAAGCGCTTGTAAAATGGCTCGGCAGTGGGTTCGGGGACACGGGTTTTCAGTCCAAATAGAATAAATCTCGATTAAACACTGTCCGCTTTGCCAAAAAAACAGAATGGCGTCATAAAAACAGGAGATTACCTGATGTTCAAATATTTCCGAAGTGAGTGAGCAGAACGGGCAGCAGTGACGTCTGCCAGGTGGCTTTTTCTGCAACATTTTTGTCAGCTATCCAGCCAACAGCTACTCTAACTTTAAATGTTTTTTTAATGACGTGATACCTTGATGCGACGGTGCTGTCAGGAGTCTGTTTTTTTTCTTCTTAACTGCCATGAACCATCAACCATCACAGTCTATGTTGACTCCTTAGCTAAATGAGTTACATCGACATTTAATTTCCCTCCTGGGATGAATAAAGCATTTTTGAATTTGAATTTAATCAAATGAGGGCACTTGCCTGTGGTGTGTTTTCTGTGTTCTGACTACACGGAGGGGTGGAGTCTGGCCTTCTCCTGTCCACGTGCGTCCATTTCTGGCCTCCATTGTTGACCTGGAACTGATCCTGTCTCTGTTCAGAGAGCACTTGGACCTCTTCGGACACTCATATTTGGACCTCTTTGGACATTCTTTTCAGGCCACGATAATGAACTGTTTTTTTTTTATCAATTTAGTTTTGCTTTTGTCATCCCTCCACTGAGTCTGGTCGTCTGTTCCTTTTGGGAGTGACAACCATTTATGGACAACAATTACAGGGAAGCATCAGTATTATTGTTCATTTTTTAAAATCTATTTATCGAAAACTTGTCAACTGATCACAAGACAGTTGGTAAGAAGCATTCCAGTGGCTCTTTCGAGTTAGTCTGTGGTTTAAATATTTGAGATTTCAATCAAATGAACCTCTGCAAGGTTCCTGTAGCTGCTGTTTTTTGTTTTGTTCTTTTCTTTGTTCTCTCTCAATCTTTGCATCACACCTTAGATTGTTACGTATGGCATAGTTTTATCACCTCTTACTTTCCGCTCTAACGTGGGTGCAGTGGCAGTAGCAAACCCAGATAAGATGTGCCTTTTTCCTCACTTTTTTCTACTCACATTCAGTGACTCATTCTAATTGACTACACTGGAAATACCAACTGTAAATGCTAGCTTCAGGTCAGTACACCTGACAGTGAGGTAACAGACATCAAATCTGTCGAGCCTGTGTTAACATCTGCTCTATAAAGAGGAAGTACTTAACGCACCAAAACAACAAACTCTCTAAATCTGACTGCCGACAGCTATTGTGCTGCAGTATTTCATCCTGGCATCCACCCTTTTCTTCTCATGTGGCTTTAATCCAACGATGCTACACAGGTACGATATGATCGTAGGCTAAGATGCATCATTATGATCAATTTTTATTTAATTTGTACAACAAAAAGAAAAAGTGTTACCAAAATGCTACTATGTGAGCTTAATATATGTACATAAACTTCACACGTCTAACGTTTAGCATGAGAGTAAAACTCTTTAGGAGGCAGGACTACTTCTGCTTTGTGGTTATGTGAGGCCTTGACGTTGGTTACTTTATGCTGAGGTGACATTTTCGTATGTGCGTGTGTGTGTTTTCTTATTTTTTTTTTTGTACTTCAGCCGTTTCATGTGCCAAGCTTACAGGATGTACAAGTTTAACCTCTGTGGTTAACTTTGTTCTAATTCCTCACACGTACCGGCCCCTGGATTTTGCAACAGAAGTGAGAAATTTGATTTAGTACAGCCTAAAGATTTCTATACTTTTTATCCTCAGCTATACAACAAGCTGTCAGATCATACAGAGAAATGCTAAAAAGAAAATCCAGAAAGGGCATCAAATTTCTGGAGTCTACTTTGCAAACATCAAGTTTATTTCACTTAGATTTTGGCTCTCTAATGTAAGTCAAATGTGTCCTGTGGCCCTTTCAAGAAAAGACATTTGTTTTGGGCAGTTTGCGATCTGAATCCCTTTTCAAAATATGTGGCATTTTCCCTTGCTTACAAATATGGCCCCGGATTATATTATATGGATATGCTATCTCTATTGGTCCCAAGAGCAACCTCTCAGATTTGGATCTGAGTATTTGAAAATCCAGCATATGGCTGTGCACGCTGTTGATGGAGTCATGTTAAAAAATGGTCACAAAACTCTCCCACATATGAAAAACGGGCAGGTTGTCTGTGGTCAGTTTCTGTTTCTGACTTTGAGGTTGTCTTGAGACCTGCAGTAGTGGTGGATGAGCGGATCACCGGAACATATCCACGAGTCATGCCCAAGACAAAAACAACCAGGACTGATCCCAGCACTTTGGTTTAGACTGTTAAATTCTTGATTAAAGCAAACACGCTTGATATTTATTATCGCTGATGTTCCCCAAAATATGACAGACTCCCTCACTCAATAATAACAGAAGCTTAGGTTTACCTTCAAGGAGGTAGAATTAAAAAGTCCTGACTTGTCAGACCTTGGTAGTTGAGCGGTCAGAGCACTGACCACTCACTGTCATATGTTGAGGACAGGCAGGCGAAATAACATTTACTCCTGAATAAATTAGGTATTATTGATAATATGATATTATTCAAACATAGCTAAATGAGGTCCAGAGTGATGTTTATTATGTACATATATTACAATTGCCACACAAGACATTTCAATTCCTAACAGTAAAAAGAGGATGCTGTTAAAGAGGATCATCTTTGCAGAAGTTGTACATGTGAACTTGCTTTGTACACTGTGTAATTCAGTGTAAACGCACGCAAAAAAAGATGCTCCAAACATCGTTAAGAAACTAAGCAATATGGCTCAGAGACTTGAAGTTGCTCTACCTACAGAACACAGTGGGATCACAACATCTGAGGCTGGAGATTTGCGGAGGCCTGTGTGCCATTTGTAGGACTCTGTGCTCTTCTTGAGGCTGAGGACGTCGTTCACAAACATGACTGTTGTTAAAAATAGTTGTTTTGTCCGTATTTTCCCTGAAGTGTAACATTACATTGTGCGAAATTATGTTTCATTTTTCTGTCTTTCTATTCAACAGCATACAGTAGAACCAAACTATTTCTATCAAGATTAGCTGCGTGTGCCCTTTCTTTGCGTTGTGTAGATTATCAAATCAAATAAGAGTGAAAAAGTTGAAGGGTATGCTGGAAATAGTTGTGCCTTACAGCAGTTTTCCTGAGAACTTACAACCCCAAAACTAAGGCTCTAGATCCTGATTTTATATCATATTGAAACTGTGTCCCATATTCAAACAACTAGTGGCGCTTTTTCCACTAGTACCTACTCAGCACGGCATGGCTCGACTTGGTACCTTTGCGTTTCCTACGGGTTGGCCCCACTTAACCGTTGCAACTTTATATGCAACTGTCCAGGGAGCTGTTTGTCCACGGAGACACATGATTAGATAGCGACTCCATCAAGCCAACCCTGCCCATTTTCAAAATGGGGCAACATCAAACGAATAGTTTCGTTCTTTCTCAGATCACCAATGTTGTAAATCTCGACATGTGAAACCCCCACTGAGGTTTACCTTATACATAGCTTCTACGATGTCCTTGATTGTTGTCTTGAGCTTGTAATGCCAACAGATAGCATCACACAGTGGTTTCCTCTCAGGCACATATTACAATCAAAAGCCACCTAAACTACGTATGACTGAATAGGTACTAATGGAAAATTGGCAGAAGAAGGTTTTTGCTTTCACATTTCATAGCATGCAATCAATGTCATTTTATATATCACATTTTATGTCAATGCTGCAATGTTTCTGGCAAAAATATGTCTTTTTGTTTTTCAAGCATTAAATGAACTCCTCTCACACTTTTTTTCGGCCAGATGCTGAAATGAGTACATTCCCATCAGGGTTGCCTCCATACTTTGCCTGATCAGCTCTCTTTGCCTGGCAGGGACAACATATTTGAGACAGACAAATCTGTTTTTTTCAAAGAAAATGAAGCAAATACACAAGCATGAGGCACGCTGACTTTGTTCTTGAAATCAGTCATTGTGACACAGCTAAATTCCAGGGGATCGAGATGGGGTGGAATTGGTCAACTGTCCATAGTGACGCAACTTAGTCATTCAACTGTTTATTTGGCTTCCTTGTTAAAGGAGTCTGACATGTCTGTTTGCTTCAGTTCACTCATATCGATATGATCTCCTCTCTGAGGATCTCTCGCTGTTCATACCTGGAGCAATGCTGTTGAGTTTGATTTTTTTGCCGTCGATGAAGTCCTTGGAGGAGCCTTCTGGAGAGGTCCTGACTGCGCTGGAAAAGGACATGCTGACTTGCAACTTCAGGAGCTTCAGGAGTTTCCTTTTGTAGCCCTTGCAGGCAAAAAAGTAGATGAACGGATCCAAGCAGGAGTTTAGGTTCATCAGGCACACCGTGATGTGCAGGGACACCTGGAAGCTCGTAAGATCGGCGCAGTCTGGGTCGGACACCAGCTTACGGATCATGTACTGCAGGAGGTCAATGTGATAGGGACTGTAACACACAACGAACACCAGGGACACGCAACAGATCACGCCGATGGCCTTGCGACTGCGGCCCGACTTGTCGGTCAGGTGGTTGGTTTTCGCCGTCATCCAGAGCTTGGAGCACAAGACGGAATAGCAAAAAAGGATCGTGACCAACGGGACAATATAGCCCAAAAACACAGCGCCGATCAGTATGGTCGCAATGTTGTCGACCGTTTCGAAGTTGGGGTATTCCATGCAGGTGGTGAAGTCGCCGGATTCTTTGTGGGTCAGAGGCATTCCGAGGAGGGGGAGGGTCTGTGCCAGAACCAGAATCCACACGCCGATGCAGATGTAGCGCACGTTGCTGACTTTCCTAAGCCGGGCAAAGCGCAGAGGCAGGACCACGGCAATAAAACGGTCCACGCTGAGGCAGGTCATGAAGTTGACCCCGGCGTAGGTGTTGATGTAGAAGACGAGGCCGGAAATCTTACACAGCGCCTCCCCCAAAGGCCAGTGGAAGCCCCTGGCGTAGTAAACAATCCTCAGAGGCAGGGAGAGCGTGAAGAGGATGTCGGAGATGACGAGATTGAGAGAGTACAAGGTGGTGGAGTTGATCTTTTTCAGATTGGGTCGGATGACGTGGAGGGCGAGGCAGTTACCAGACAACCCCACAAAAAACACTATGCAGTAGAAAATCGGCATGAAGATACGGGCATAGTTTTTGTGGGCATACAGGGTTTCACAGGTTGTGTCATTACTGGAGGCGGGGACAGAGAGGGTCACCGGCACTGTGACGGAAGCCATGCTGTGAATTTTGGAACTAAGATCTGCTGAAAGGAAAGAAAAAAAACAGGTTCAATTCAGAGTTTAACTTGTCAAAGTACTTTTTTGTTTCATTTTACTGCATGTTTCTGAGGACACAATCACAGCCAACATGCAAGCTGAAATGAAACCTTTGTCCAGCATTACCCAAATTAACGTCCTGCTTTCATAAAGGAAGCAAAGGAAGCTGCGGTATTTCTCATTACTCCTTTTCAGACAACCTGCCATAGTGAGTATCTTCTTTACAGTTTGTGTCTTCCACATGCTTTGGTACAGATTGTTTAATATTGTTGCCGGATAAAATTTAATCTAACTTTAAAGCTCTGTGACCATGCATATATACACACATATATACAGATATGTACATATACATTTGTGTGTGTACATATATATATATATGTATATAAACATAAATCATATATATATGTACATATATACATATATACATATGTATATATATTTAAATAAATACATGCAGAAAAAACATGTGCATGTGTTTTGTGTGCTTTTTGGTGCCATCTTATGGTTGATGTTGATCAACCCAGTCACTTAAGCCAATCGCTCCACCTCCTGTATTCTTTTGAAAAAAGTTTAAATTGTTTTATTAAATTTAAAATTTAAAAAAAAAAATTTTAACTTTTATTTCCCTTTTTTTTTTTTTTACAAATAAAGACAGTTTTAACATATGAATATTATGGTTTTTCAGAGTTTTAGACTTTTCAGAAATATGATAGTAAACACTAAAGGTGAACCTATTACTCTAAGTAGTACCCACTAATTTACAAATACAAATCGTCTGTGAGTGTGTTTGTAGTTTTGAGGAAGTCAATGAACATTTACTTTTCTTCACTATGACTGCAACAATCTCATTGTCACATGGCAAAATGTAAAAAAAAAGGTGTTAAGAGATGGCCTTGTGTTTGAGGAAGCCTACTTCCCCAGAGTATTGTAGCGTGGCAGTAGGAAAGTGAACAAAAATTGTAATGTGCTCTATTAACGTGCATCTGCACAATGCAGCAGAGAAGCCCATTTCCTGACCAGGCATGTGTAGCACACATGCGAAGTCTATTTTTTCTCAAATTTTTTCTGGAAAAACTAATTAACTCAGAATTTCCCAATTTGATAATACATCCATGTTTAATATATGCAATGAGCCATGAACAAATTCTAATTTAATTCATCATTTTAAATCATGTAATGATGTGAAATATAAAGGCATATGACTAAATATCACTAATTCTAACATAAGTAAACAGAAAAGATGTCTTCATAAAAAAATTTTTTATAATGTGGTACACAGTATAATCTGTTGATATATTCCAAATATATATGTATAATAGTTGGGCAACAGTCTTGTCAAGTCAAAGGACAAATGTACAGATACAAACACGTTAAAAAATCCAGTGAAGAAAATAAATCTTACCTCTCTGACTGAAAATACTGCTCTATGGACTCATCAAAATCGGATCGATCCAGGGGGCTCCAGAGCTGATCACTCTTATCTGAGCTGCCCGACAGTCAGCGTGCTGCCTGGTGTGAAAACAGCATGACATTCAGAAATCAAGATCAGTATCGCCTGCCAGTAGCTATGGTGACAAAATATCCTGTTGTAGCGCTCTCTCTCTCTTTCGCTGCGTGCCGTGTGGGTGAGTGTCAGTTTACTTCACTCACAAACTTTTTTCAAAGGCTGTCTCTCACGTCAGACTCCTTCACAACACCTTGTGATTGCGCCCAAATTACAGAGCAATATGACATTAAACTTCTTGATTGGTCATCTTTTAGCTGTATTAGTCCAGATGTATTGAACAAGAGTGGGTTAAGCAGTAAGCCAGGGAAGAGAAAGTCTAGGCTTGCGCTGTTTGCCACAGTGGTAGGATGTGGCTTTTCTTACCTAGATCAGACCAGAAGGCCTAGTTGAAAAATATTTTTGAGTGGAAAAATGTTTTTTTGTCACCCCTTCATTCTGATAATGCTTACTTGATTATCGCTTTGCTTATTCTCACCGGCTTCAATGTACATGATATAATCAAGCGATAATGGGGAAATTCCCATTTTACTTTGAATGAAAAAAATAAGTTGTCAACTAAATCAATTTTAGAACACAGATGATAAAATGAGCATACAATCTAACCACAAATAAAATGTCTTCCTGTTTATTTAAAATGTAGGCTACACCCTCCTAGTTTGAAGGGTGTTCTCACAAGTTTTCTCGTGTTAGTCAGAGAGAGGACTGATGCTTTTGCATTACCAATATGCAGACGCGTTGTCATGGTGTCAATCACTTGTTTCACTCACTGTCTCTTAAAATCACCATCTTAGCATCATTGGAAATATCCAGATTTATTATCTTTAGCCGCTGAAATATGCTAACCATACAACGTAACCTGTAAAACATGCTGAGGCAGCATTATAAATACCCTGCAATGGAACAGGTTCTGTGGATTTCATTTGTGACCGAAGTGTATTCTGTCTGTATAAACTGAGCAAACAGCAGCTAAACTGTCCTTTTAAGACTCTTTAAATGAAAATAATTGAAATATTTTCCAGTAACCCAATCAGGGATGATATCAATCCATTTTAGTTTTATTCACTATGTCTGCAACGACCTCACTTTAACATGGCAAAATGTTAAAAAAAAAAATGTTAAGAGATGGCCTTGTGGTTGAGGAAGCCTACATCCCCAGAGTATTGTGGCATGGCTGTTTGGAACCTGCATTTTTGCATGCACATTATTTCTCCATTGGACACAAATCTAAAGTCAAAGGACAGGATATTGCTTCACACTCGATGCAAATTCTGTTTTGCCGTGAATATTCACTGTTGGTATTTGTTAATCACAGGCCCCTAAGTCTGGTTCTTCACTTTACTTATGTTTGTTTATTTGTTTATTTAGAATTCAATCACTCAAAGCACCATCAACTTCACATGTTCATCCCACAGAAGGAAATGGTGTAACTAACTTTTAAGATAACGACACGCCTGGTTGTATCTATGTTACTTTATACTATTCACAGTAAAGTGAGAAGATATCTGACTATTAGGGAAGTTGAAAATGTTCCCTTAGCCTTTGGTCTACATGTCTAGCTTACTCATGTCTACTGTCTGTTCCCATAAGATAAAAGATATTATGATATGGTGATGTTTGAGGGTTTCCTCATGGGAGAGGTAAACTCCAGTGCAAACTCATCTTTAAACCTATCTTCATCTGGCCTTTCTTATACTGCACGAGTGAATCAAAGCCCAAGTGATTATTATTACATTTGCTTGAGGATGTCTTTTTCATAACATTTTCCTCCCAACACTTATCTTACCAGGACAAATTTAGATCATCTTTGCAATTGTTTACCTTTTCTACAGTCACTCTGTCCTATTAAAAGTACTAGAAAGAATGTGAAAGACATTCTGCTGTGCTTGCAGAGAAAAGTGTCTGTAAAACTGTTTATGTGAATTCAAGGTAACCCACATAAAACACCACAATAGAGATTTAGAAAATGTATTCCCCTCTTTCTTGACACCTAGACGCAAACTTGACTCATCCAATGCCCACAAGAGACTCTGGATACGATATCATTATTCAATTTTTAATCAAATTGCTTTAATCTGATTATGTTTGAGGCCCAAAAAATCCCAACTGATTGCTTTTCGCTTTGCAGCCTGGTGCCACTTGCTTTATTCAAATGACTACACACCCAATTTAATTAGTAAAACCCTAACTTCACAAACAGCATGTAACTATTATGTGGTTATCACACCTCTAAGTCACCCTGCCCTTCTGAGGTGCTAACGCATTCTTCTACAAAGGTTGAGCTATGGGACGTGCCCTGCAGTGGCATATGCCGATGGCTTTAAAAATAAATTGGGTTGTTAAACCAGTCTACTGGTTTCGAATTTACTTCCCCTTTGTGCATATATATATATATATGAATAGAACTTGGCCATTTAACATTTAGAATTGAAACACAATACATTTCCAACACTTTTCTGTTCCTTTTGTTGAAAGCAGCCTTCATTCGTTCAAAACAAGTCCGGTGGTGAGGCAAAGGATGTAGTTGAACTTCCTCATGGCCAGCCATGTGGGGCTGACTCACTGGGCTTCAGACAGCCAGATCACACCCAACGCTGACAGACAAAAGACACAGTATTTGGATGCTGCTATTCATAGAAGACAATGGGACTCAAACCCAGAAGGAAGCCACGTACAATGTCTTTACTCGTTACTCTCATAATCTGAGTGTTTTTCTCAGAGATTTTGTTAATGAGAATGAAGCAAAAGTGACAAACTAAAGAAAGCAGGATTTCCTGCAAAACAGCAGCTCTCTCTGCTCATTTGATGAAAAAGTAAAACATGTTCTGCCATGTCTTCAAAATGATAGGGGATGTTCAGAGAGGAAAGTCTCTAAAAGGATATCCTTTTTAACAGCATATGATGAAACATATTGTTCTGTGCCAGAGACCAACCATAGAGGCCTCCCATAGATGTACCCATACTGCTTATATGAAAATACCAAATGAGATCAAATAAAACAGCTCACAAGGATCAGTTTGGTGTTTTCATGGCTGCGTTACACTCCCCAGACTCTTGACAAGAGGGCGGGCACTAGTTGGCAGGAAAAAACATTTAGCAACACCTTTGCTTTGCAACAATATTGTAAAACTTTGGATAAAAAGCACAAAAAAATGGCGCAGAACAATGTCGTAAGAGGCATCATTACCCTTTTGAAGACAAAGTCCTGTTAGGAAACATCCATGGTGTGGACAGTGTTGTGAGATTCAACTGGAGGAAATTTGTGACGACTTCCGGAGGAATAAACTCAGTAGGCTGGAGGCTGATTTCTCAGTTATGTTTGCGCATGTGGTTGGGATGAAATTGCAACAGAAAATGAAACTGTGGTTGTACTTGTTTTCTTCTTGTGGTTGTATTCCAGAAAGTTAGAGACTACACTATGGCAAGAAAGTTAAAAACCAGAAAGTTAAAGACTACATTATGAGACTATAAGGCACCTGAATTTACCCAGATTCGACTGTCTTCCAGTATGAAGTACTGGATGTATGTAATGTAGGTTCCAAGGAGAATTAGAGATGTTTCTTGAAAGTTTTAAATAGAACAAACAGTTTTCTCAACCTAGTGTTAACTGAAAATGAATGTGAACACATTTAAACATAATGAGGCATAAACGTTTGTCAGTTCATCCTTTAAGGATTTCCACTTTGGTGGGCCAAAGACCCAAAGCAATTCTAAACATGTCACCATCTAAACTTTACTGTACTGCAGCTGTGAGAGTTTATGTAATGGTCGTTTTACCCCGTGAGTCACAGAGAACTCGCTTCCGTTACAACACAGGACGTTGGTGTAATTAATCTGGTCTTGCACTCGTCGCAATATGTCCTGTTTCGTCTTTCTGTGACATATTAGCTGGGATCCATCCATCACGCAAGACGTTTCTTCTAAGATGAACAGTGCTCTCGTCTGGCAAATGGTGGGTACTGCAAGTGGCGAGGTTCAGCTCATTTGTGACTGAAGAAACCAAAAAAGTAAAGGTTTGAGTTTTGCGTGTAGCTTACAAAACACTGTTTTACACCAAAACATGTGTTGTAACACAAATAAGTCACAGGATGGCAGCAGTGTCATTATTGTTGCGTCCCCTCACATTTTGTATGTTAAATTTGAAAGAAAAAATATTACGTTTAAGGATTATTTTAACATGGCTTGTTTTATACTAGTAATACTTAATACAAATAAATTGTAAATCATTCTTTGTCTTTTTTTTAAATAATTGTTTTAGAATTAATCAATTATTTTTTCATTTTTTTCAACCCTTTCTCTTTATTGATTGAATTGGCTCAAGTTTCAATTATGCTTGAAAGGTTCCTTTACCTTACATCCTAAAAATGAAGAACAGACGTGTACGGATAAAAGACAAATTCTGTTAACACTTTAAATCTGTTACTTTGGAACCCTCTCAGTGTGATGGAAGAGCAATCACTCTGAAAAGACTGGCTGATTAAAAGACTGGAAGACGTTGCCAAAACGGACGCCTTTTCAGGTGAAATATGTCGATGTGGCTCACTGCATTTCTCAAATGATTAAAGATACGATCTACTGTTGCTTCCTGTCTGACAGCAAATGATCTTTATCATGAAAAGCATCTTGAAAAAGTTCACACAGTTGCATGAAGCAGAGTCTTTGAAAACTATTTAAAATGGTAGATTCCGTTGAGGTTTGCATGGTTAATAGGTAGAATGAGTGCCTCTAGCAATAGTAAACTCTAATAGTAAAGCAATTTCTGATCAATTATAATGCACAAACATTAATTAAAACAACTATGATAGAATTGAAAGTATCCTTAAAAGATTCAATTCAAGCTGGCTTCCTTTTAGCAACAAAGGTTGTGCACAACACAGAGAGAAACACTCATTGCTTTTATACCATTAAGGGTTTTAAAGAAGATAAAGGCTTAAATAGGTTAAGAGAAGTATCTCTTTCTTCAACTTCTTGAGATTAATGTTGTTTGCATTTGTGTATCATGGAAACATCACAGTGAAAAAGCACCAATGATTGAATGACGTACAAAGGATCCGTATGAATCGATTTCTTAAAGTAAGGTGAAAAACCGCAGAAAAAAAATATTTTGATCTTTAATGAGACTAAAAGTCACACTTCATAAGATGTGATGTGGAAAATATGAGCTCTAATATGCATTTGAAACCATACTCAGGTCAAGGGACTAAAATTATGCCAAGATATAAGTCATCCACCACAGTGGTTAACAGTAAGTATCGGGGTTTTTATTACCAGGTGCTGATATTGTTAAAGAAAAATTTCTTACAACAAAGCAAAAAGGCCATTCCAACCACATGAAAAGGAAGGTTCTCAGAAAACATGCTGCTGAATCTTGTTGATATTTTTCTGAGAAGTCTCACCATTGACTGATGGACCGTAACAATTGCCACAAGTTCACATAGAATATCACAGATTTCCCCCCCTTTAGCATTGAGTTTACTCAAAGACATCTAGTGAATTCCAAAATCTGCAGCTGGAGGCTGCTTACCGCTTAAATTCCATGAGAGCACTAACGGTGTTTATAGTTTTTCACACGCTGTTTCTCAGCATTGTATGAAACTGTTGTGAAAGGAGTCATTTTCAGCATTAGCAGGTGGGAAAACTCAATATTTAGAGGCTAGAGGGTCCCTGGTTGTGAAGTTACACAGGTAATTATCAATTAACACCTCTGAATATGCCCCCCCACCCCTGTCTGTCTTAATATGTTCTATTCTCACTTTTCTTCGAAAGTTCACTTTTATTTTAGCTTACTGTTTGGCGATTAAAAAAAGAAAAGTGAACGAGTTAGCTTTAGGCATGAAAAAAATCTAGTCTAGTTTAGGACTAAGAAATTAATGGTAATGTGCCTTAGTTTGTTGGAAAAGAAGAAAAACTCCAATCCGCATGTACTTTTAGATTGTTCAGTCAATGTAAAGTGTATTACAAACAAAATGAGGTATTATCTTTTTTTTTTTTACCAGTAGTAGTAGAAGTATGTACTATCAATTATTCCATTGAATGAATCTAATTTGGGGACCTGTACTACAATTAACACTCTGAATGTTCTGCTGCTCTTTTCACAATCACTGTTTGGGTTGCCTCAAACAAAGTCAAAGGTTTTAGATATCTGCACTCTTGTTTCCCCTCCAGAATATAAAATCCAAACCTGCTGTTTATGCTCTGGATGGAGGATGCCATGTATTTTGTATCAGCATCACCATAACTCAACTTAACTCTGTAGCACAAGTGCCTGAAAGTAGTTGTGTAATGCTGTTAAATGGATGGTTGTGAGACCGGCTGTTTCTTGTTGGGGGCTGGAGTCTGACATTGTGTGAGAGGTGGGGCACACCCTGGGCAGGTTGCAGGTCCATCACAGTTAGAAACACTCAGAAACACAACCACACATACTCAAACTCACTGCTAGGGGCAATTTAGAGCCTAGCATGCTTGTTTTTGGACTGTGGAAGGAAGCCAGGGGGATATGACTGGGAGAACCTGAAATCTACATGCATTAAGTCCCTGGTACCCCAGTGAAACGAACAGGAAGTCCTTTTAATGAAAAAAAAGAAAACAAATCAAGGGTAAATGTAAGCATGGCCTGTGATGGATTAGTGACCTGTCCAGGGTGAAACCTTCCTCTCGATCATTGACAGCTGGGATGGGCTCTAAAAACCCACCATGACCCTAACTTGTAATTGGAATAAATGATTATTTAAGATAGCTGGACAGATAGAAAAGTCAGCTCAGATAAACAAGTGTTGACCACAGTTTGGTTAGAATTTGCATCAGTTGTTTGTCTCTGTGTGTCCCTGTGATGGACAGGTGACCCGTCCGTGGTTCTCCCCAATGCCGACTCGAATAGCTGCAATTTTACAAGTTATAAGTTATAATTATAAGTTGTTACACATACTGTACGTGGACATTTTTTCAGTGTCGCGTTGAGATATAATACTGTGGATTTGACATGATTAAGTAGAAGCCAAGCAGGTGTGTTTAACAGAATAATAAGCCATAACATTTCATTTTCTTAAAAATTGATAATAACAAACACTGATCAGTTTGTTACAAGACAGTATTCTGCTGGGAAAACCAGCTCTTAGTTGTTATTTTGTTATGTTATGTTATTTTGACAGGCGGTATTGATTGTGATTTGGCAATAACGACACATTAGCCTCCTCTCAAGCATTTCTTTAATGAATTCCTGTGTTGCAGCTCGCTCTCAGTTCATTTTTTCAAATTCATAGGGCAGCTTTTCCAAAAATGTTTAAATAAGATTAAAAAAAAAAAACTCAGGAAATGTTAAAGGTTAAATTTAGATACGGGGCTCGCTATAATCTGATAAGCTACACCTGCTCACAGCTGTAAGCCGCGCACACGCCACAAACCCGCCACAAAATATGGAGCGGAGCTGGAATGAGGTCTGTGAGGGGGAGCATCAAAGGGGAGGAAGTGATGATCATTTTTTTCATCCGCACTCCTACACAAAAGTCACGTGGGTGTGAAATAAAAAAAATGTTGAGGAGGCTTTGACAAAACGTAAAGTATGTTACACACTGGATCCGTATCAGCAACTACACTATACTATATCAACAACTATAAATAAAAAATAGACAGTGAAAGCTTGGCTTGCTAGTAAATAAGATGCCGTTTTCTACACAAATACATATTTGCATAAAAAGCCATTCTGTACAAAAATAAAGTTTACCATTTAATGCTGTACCTATGCCAAGGAAGGAAGGCTTTCCAGCATACAATATAGAAAAAATACAAGCATAGAAGACAAATCTAGGTTATGCAATGCAAGCAAACACTATTTCCCATTGTATCAAGTTATTATTTTTGCTTTATTTTGACTTGAGATGTGTTAAACCCTACCATAATGTACATATGAAATAGGAAAGAAGATGTGTTCCTGACATAAGATCGTATATGTAAGACCCATGAGTCATTTCCATCCACACCGTCAACATAACTGAGGAGAATTAACCTTTAAACCAGGTCCTCTCTGCCAGGCTCAGCGCAGACATGTCTCCCACATGCTCAGCTGCAGTTTCTCTCAGGTGTTGCTGCTGCTGTTCTCTGCTGCCGTTTTGGAGGAGGCAGCGGAGGTGTAGAGGTAATCCTTGAAGAGGCTCATCACCCGCCTCTTGTAGGTCTTTATTGCAAAGAAGTAGATGACCGGATCCAAGCAGCAGTTGAAGTTCATGAGGGAAACCGTTATCTGTCATGTGGGGTCACAAGGGATTACGGCAAAGGGCAACGGACTGCAAATGTTTGATAAAGCGACAGTCCTTACCTGTAACGACATCTTGAAGGCTCTCAGCTCCTCGCAGGAGGGCGTGCGGCTTATTTTCCGGAACATGAACTGCACGATGTTGACGTGGTACGGGCTGAAGCAGACGACGAACGTGACGAGGATGAGGAGGATGATGACGTTGGCCCTGTGGCTTCTCTTCGTCCGGCCGGTCACCGAGTTCTGCTTGGCGGCAGACCGCAGCTTGGTGTTGATCTTGGCGTAGCAGCCCACGATAACGGCAAGGGGACAGCAAAAGGAGACGAAGCAGGCCAGGATGAGCAGGTAAGGGGTGAAGCGGGAGCCCTCGAAGCTGAAGTACTCCATGCAGGTGCGTTTTCCCTGCCGTACGTGCAGCATGCTTTGGAACAGCAGGGGTGCCGTCTCCACTGTGACCAGAACCCAAACGAGGCAGCAGACCCTGCGGACAACTTTGACACTACGCAAGCCCTGCAGTTGGTGCGGGTGGACCATGGCCAGGTATCGGTCCAGGCTGATGCAGGTCATGAAGCCAATACCTGTTAGAAACACATCAGAATCAAATATAGCTATAAAAGTATTTCCCTTGGACCAACTGAGTTCACACGCATGATTTATTTGAGATCTTGTGCTCAAATAGAATTGCCCAAGGCAATTCTAAAGTGACTTTTGAGCTTTCTTTTTTAAAACAAAACATTAAGAATGCAAGATCAGGAGTTGTGAGGGTGTGGCTCGTGACAAGAAAACCACGAATACGAGAACAAATTGGGCATAAAAGTGCCTCTACTATTACCTGCGTAGGTGTTAGCAAAGAAGAGGAGTGTGGTCAGCCTGCAGAGGATGTCGCCAAAGGGCCAGTCAAAGTGGCGGACGTAGTACGTGATTCGACCGGGCAGCGCGAGCGTGAACGTGGCGTCGGATAGAGCGAGGTTGACAAGATAGATGGAAGTGGAGTTGAACTTCTGCTTCCTCTTGCAGATCACATAGAGAACCAAACTGTTTCCACAAACGCTGATAATGAAAACCACCGAGTAGAAAATGGGGAAGAGGACCACTGCAGCTCTCTGATAGACAAACACATCGCAACCGCTCTGGTTCAGAGACGTCTCTGAGGAGCCCACCGTGACGTTTTCGACGTCCATCCCCACCTGTTCTTTTAAGAAAAGGTTTACACTACATTCAAATATATACAGGCAGGAATAAGCAACAAAAAAACCCACCAAAAAAATTGATTACCTACAATGAGAGAGTAGTCGAGATAATTTATCGTTGCTGCTGCTGAGGCTGCTGGTTGGGATTGGAAATTGAGCTGAGATGCCTGAAACACATGTTAAGGGCTGGATGAAGTTGTAAAATCCCACCTCTTTCTTTTTATGTCACAGCATCTGTCAAACTGTCACACTTCTCTTAAGCTGCCGCAACAGTTAGTCAAGCCTTTGTTTCCAGCAGTCCCAGTATGCTGTTATATTGTTGTTGCGCAACCAACCTGACGAATGATTGGAAAAATAATGTTTCAATAGGGGATCTATCTCTCCTCGATGTACATGGCGCGGAGATTAAATGTGCAAATAAGTGCAAAAACAGACTGTAAGAAAAACGTTTTTCACATGCTTTGTGAAATAAACGCAACATTGCAGGTTTTGCTGTGAAACAGGACGGTGCACGTCAGTCTTCCATCCATCCGTGTGTCCATCCAGCCATCCATTTTCTGGACTGCTTATTCCCAGAGTGGTCGCGTAGGGGTCTGGAGCACCATATTAGCTGACACTGGGCGATGTCAATCCATCACAGGGCCGCATTGTGAGGAAGGGGACAGAAAACCACACACTCACACTCCCCCCTGCAGGCAATATTGAGGAGCCAATTAAAGAAACATGCATGCTTTTTTGTGTGTTTTTCTTTTTTACTGAACCCAAACAAGTACATGCAATATAGAGAAAGGACCCATCATGGGCTTCGATGGCTTCCTGAGCAACTGAGTTACAATGTGACTTTATAGAGAATAAAACCACTTTAAAAAAAAAAGTGTGAATTGTCTTAACCTATAAGAGCCACATCCTTTTTTTTCCTGAGCGGATCATTATTGGGAATAGAAAACTGACCAAATTGACTGCATAATTCACACTTAAAAAACACAATTATCAAAGAACTTTCATTTCCATAAATTGTGATGGCTATCTTTAATTGATTTATTTAGATTAATCTAGTTTAGATTTTAGTTTAGATAGTTTGTTACACCTTTTCAGTTGAATATTTAAGCAATTTCGGAGGTAGCACTGGCCCAACAACACTGCCTCCTCTGGAAATTGTAATGATTTTCAGAAGGTTTTAGAAGCAAGTAGGTTGAGGGTTTATATTAAGTTCCTGTCATTGAGGTTTCTCAGATTTTGTGCTCTTTGCAAGGCTGACATTAACAGATGCATGTCTGAGGTGCAGCAGATGGAAGATATAAGAGGAAGTGAAGCAGAAAACTTGTTGTTCCTTGTATAAAAAAAGCTAAAAAAAACTGTCACAGTCCTATGATGTGTGAATGAATCACTAAGAGTCAAGAGAATGTCAGATCTAGATATGTAGCTCAACCACCAACCCCTCAAAAGGGCGAAGTATGGGGAAAAGAAGCACACTCCCGTAGCACATTATTATTTCTGAGAATAGTTATAGAAGTTAAAATGAGGCGTTGTAACCGTGCTTCTGAAAAGCAAGATGCAGAAGCTTCCCTGCAAAGAAACCAGCCTTGCTGTGCCGGATTCCCACCAACTGAACGGCTTCAAATACAATAAATGCTTTTTTTAAATATGTATTTCCATAGAAACAGGACACGTTATGTTAAAAACATTAGAAGAAGTTTGCCAACCGGGGTAGGAAGAGGTTAACAACAAGATAACTGCATTTAATTTGCAACCCAGCCTGCCTTGTAGATCAGCCCATTGCCTCATACTGCAGCTGGCATAACTGACACTTGATGTACTTGGAATGGCCAAGGGATGAAATAAACGTTGCTTTTTTTTTTTTTTTTTTACAGCTCGCATGCCCCGAAAGTACAGAATAATTAACACCCTTAAGCTCTGGACTATTTTCGAAACTTAATTGTCAAAAGATTAGGTTCACACTCCCGTATTTACAGTTGTTGGGTTAAACTGTGCAGACTATCAACAAGAGCCAGCTGGGAGAAGGGTGAGATTTTAAAAGCCTACTCGAAACATCCCTTAAGCTTACACTTTGCTGTATCTCTGCCTCATTACAATTATGTTTTTTGTTTGTTTTAAAAGGTTCTCTGTGTTAGGGCTAGTTTGTATTTGTTTGTTATATGATGTAGAATAGAGTCAAATAGGTTAAAAATAGCTTTTACTTGACAGTGTCACTAAAACTTGATGCCTATTGGCTTTATCTTGCACTATTAAAGACAAAACTGAAAAAACATGTTTAAATTCCTTATTCCCCATAATGTACAAATGGTAAAAGCGAGTAAAAATGTATTGCCACACATTTTCTTTTCAATAGTGATCTAACAAGACGTTAAATCTTCTTTAAACCCATCTTAAACACCATTTTGCTCTTAAACCGACCCCGAAATCCTTCATAAGTCTCCCCAGAATACCTTATTTCTTTGCATGTGTCCCTTTCTTCACAGGATTAGACTAATATTTTGTTTTCTGCATTCGCAGTTTACAGTAAAAGTACAGTAGACACGCTCTGGCTTACAGTGTGTGTCTCATCACGCTCGCCCACCAATGCCTTCCATGTAGGTGTAATTGAAATAGATGGCTGCTGGATAGGCAAAAGGTCACTAATTGTCACCAGTCAAATGCGGTTATAATACAGCTCACTTAGGTCACAGTAAAAGCTTCATGGAGACAGTGTCACCTGCAGGTTAGGAGCCCGCTGCCCTCCAGGCCTACATTTCATGCTCCATTAATTCTGTGCCCGGAGTTAAACATCTCATACCATCTGAACGGCGTTTCCAGAAAAAGGAAAAGACAGTTGTCGGCTCGGAGCTCACTGGGTGTCCTGAGGGTGTCTCTGTTAAATGCTGCAGGAGGACATGGAAAGAAGGAGATGATCAGTTCTGCTTATCCGGACCCTCGGCTGACTTCCCTTTAACCCGTTTCAATGAGGAAACAGCAGAGATTCGAGCTTCGAGTTTCCTTCACTTTTCTGTTGAGCCCAAATACATTTTGTGCATCTTATTTTCTTACAAAAAAAGTGTTTTCACAGTTCAAATTAGATAAAATCAGTTAAGAATCTATCGCTTCTTTTACACCAGTCTCAGTTTCTGCGTGGCTCCAGCACCCTGAGCACTTGCACGTGGTAGCGTGTAGTAAAGTGTTTGCTGTTTTCTGGGTTGATTGGTGTGTGACATGAAAGGTCTTAGGAAATTGAAAGTGACGACCCAGCATGGAGCATGCATGGAAGTCACTTCTCAGAAATGTGACCTTTTTCTGGTTGTTAAGTCAGGGGTGGGCTGGAAAAAGGGGAGGGATGAAGAGGGGAACAAACTGATTTGAAGAGAATTATACAATAGTGAATACTGCAAATGCAAAACATCCCAGAAGGCATATCGTTTTAAAGGCACCCTCATGGTGGAGAGGGACCAGTGGTGTGTTGGTGAGGCAAACTGGGAATGACTTCTGATGTCCAGGGCGTGTGTGGAGTAGTCAGCATGGTTCCACAAACGGTGCCTAACCAGATCTTGGATGTTTTTTGCTGCCAAAATTAATTCTGCATGAAACTTCCCCCACATACTTCAACTTTAGG